TTCTTCATTTACTGTGTAAGTTTTGTCATTTGTTTGAAATTCTATTGTAACTGATGAAGGTTGCCGTTTTGCAGATTGAGCAATGAAGAAATATACCGTTGTAAAAAACAGAAAAAAAGTAAAAAACATTCAACAATTAGTAAAAACATTCTGTATTGCCGTGGGTGTCGTAAGAGGCGATAGAGTAAAACAAATCAGGAGATACGTAGCAGCGTAATGCATTATAACAACTAAAAAAAAAAACAATTATTTGACAATCTACGGAGGAGGGTTAAGTTTAGCTCGGGAATTTGTATAGTCTGTAACAGTAACTGTGTTCTTAAAAGCTGGGCTAGCCTTAAGGTCCAACGCTCCTTCTTGTAAATTTCAAAGTATGCGAACAGCCCGAGTTCGATCACTTCTGGTTTTGAAATGATTTTTACGTGGTAGAGTCGCGCTGCAGCTTTATTATAGTTGTAACACGAGTGGGTCGGCTCGACCGGTGTAGGACCACGCTCTCACAGAATATCAACGTAAAATAGCAGTTTAATACTGCTGTGTTTCGTGTGGTGAGTGTAGAGATCCGGAGACCCTTTTTTACTGGAAACGAGGCATTTCATCTTAGTCCTCAGGGGTGACAACGCAACTGCGTTTTGATTCTTAATCGAGGATAAATGTAGATGTCTATGGGCCACAGCATCCACTTACCATCAGGTGGATTGTGTGCTCGTTTGTCACCCTTATTCTATGAAAAAAAAAATATTTGCTACGGGCTCGGCGGTGAAGGAAGGAAAAAAATAACGTGAGGAAACCTGCATGTTTATACAATAAAAGACTAAAAGCATTTGGAAAACATATCACCGTAAAAACGCATGGGGCAGTGCGGCAGACACTTCCTTGCCATAAAAACTTTCTTAGGAATTTGAGGAGGCCTGTGCCCAGCAGTGGGACGTATGATAGCTCGTAACTAACTATTCAAAAACGTGGATGTTTTCATTACAACCTATATATACATTTAAAAAATGCTAATTATTACCAATATTTTTTTTTTAAATTTAGTCGTCAGCTTTCTATATCGAGAGTTTAGAGTGGGTTTAACTATTTTAACTCCAAGTTTATTAAAACTTCCAGATAAAATGACAGTTTAGTCATAAAAGAAAATTGTAGTTAGCTTACCAAAAGGAGCTACTTTAGGACCTTAGACATTTTTTATATCTCTCACTTACTTTGAATTTATATTTTATTTAAAAGTTTTAAGCTATTTTTATAATTAAGACTAAGCAATAAAGTAATCAATTTCAAAATTTAAAAAATAACGACAAATTACGGCATAGATGTAAAATATTGATTAACATCGACATATCGATAAATATCGACACATCGATGTATCTCCCAACAGTACTGTGGTGTGAAATTGTTTAGCATCGGTATGTTCCGGTGTCGGCGTCGAAGGTTTTAATAACTCTTGAAAATTCATTATTATTTCGCGGGGGATAACAATTAAAAAAGCATATTTTATAGAAATGTAAGATGTTTGACATTATGTGCAATATGTGCGTTGATTTCAGGTTTGAAACCTACCGTTGTGATGACAGCATGGTCATAGGTCATAGTAGTTTCAACGCATCTGACGTCATATTTGTAAGGAATTGCCTGCAAGTAAGCTGCAATATACGATCGCCATCGGCTGGACTTTTGGCGCGTATTTTTTTACAGGTTAGGGTGACAAACGAGCACACAGACATCTACATCTATCCCCAATCACGAATCAAAATGCAGATGCGTTGTCACCCGTGAGGACTAAGATGGAATGCCTCGTTTCCAGTAAAAAGGGTCTCCGGTTTCTACACTCACCATACGAAACACAGCAGCATTAAGCTACTATTTGACGCTGGTATTCTGTGAGAGTGTGGTCCTGCCCCGGTCGAGCCGACCCATTCGTGCTACAACCACACTACTAATATAACTGCTACATGACTCTACCACGTATGTCATTCAGATTTCATTAAATAAAAAATAGAAACAATAGAAAAAATATTTATCTCAACAAAACAGAAACTGCAGTTTACGATTTAATTTTTTTAAAGATTTAATAGCGACAAACAGGGTACGTGGTAGAGCCACGCTGCATCTATATTATTTTTGTAACTCGAATGCGTTGGCTCGAACGGGTTGGGACCACGCTTTCACACAATATCGGAATGAAATAGCAGTTCAACGCTGCTGTGTTTCGTAGGTTAAGTCTAGATAATCGGAGACCCTTTTTACTGGAAATGAATCATTCCCTTTTTGTCCTCAGGGGTGACAACACATCTGCGTTTTGATGCTCAATCGAGGACTATGGGTCACAGCATTCGCTTACCAAACTGTATATGTAAACTGTATGTATCACCTACTCTTCTATAAATAAAAACCTCATATATTTGAACAGGCAAAATGCGTGTGTTCCCTCCTGAGGAGACTATGATGAAATGCCTCGTTTCCAGTAAAAAGGGTCTTCGGTTCTCTACACTCACCATACGAAATACAGCAGCATTAAGCTACTATTTTACGCTGGTATTTGTGAGAGCGTGGTCCTTCCCCGACTCATTCGTGCTACAACCATAATATAGCTACAGCGTGATTCTAATACATATAAAAGCAACGAAATCGTTAGTTTAACATATTTATGGCTTGATTTCCCAAGTTTCGCAGAGTTGTATCTGGAGTCCCAAACAAAAATGAAACATCTCGTTTCCATTTAAGTCCTAGGAAATGACCCAGGTCTACTAAGCCTTTTTTATTAAAGTATTGTTTGCAGATGTCACAGATTACAAAGATACTAGAATTTACTATGTCTTTGGCCTACAAGTAATTGTTCCGGCTCAGGATGTTTGTCCTTGTGCAATTAAAGTTTGTAAACTGCCTCCACGATACAGGAGAAAATCCTTCGTCCCATCTATTCGTTTATTAGATCTATATTTTACTTGCGCTCATCGATCACTAATAAAAAACTAGATACACAATCAGTGACAAAAAACGACCTCACCAAATGAGCACCCATTCGAACATTTGGGTGCGCTTTTAATCTAGTTACATTCGAACACTCCGCCGGTAAACATGCCTCAGTGCTCGTTTAAAAAGTGTAAAAATCACACATCCAGGACGCTAAAAAAGGATGGAATTTCCTGATTTCGGTACGTATTAATATTATCATTATTTAATTGTTATCAATGTATTGTAAATACTTATATTTTGTCAAGAAATCTCCGTAAAACATTTTTTATATTAAGTCTTAATAAAATAAGTCATAATTGTTCGTTGACTCTGTTCCGTTTGTTGGAGACGTTATTATTTTTTTATTATTAAAGTATGATTATTATTTTTTGTTTAACGAGACTTCTTTATAGATTCTCCAAATATTATAGTAACATATTAAATATTTAATTCTGAATATGTGCAATAGTAGAAACTGATTGTGCATGTAGTAAAATTAAAGATGTGAGATTTTATTTTTAATTTTGCAGCTTTCCTCGAGATCCAGTTAGGTGTGCAGAATGGATATCAGTCACAGCATGTCAAAGGTCCGAAGAATTCTTCAAGCCGACCCAAGGAAGCGTTGTATGTTCAAAGCATGTTTTAGAAAGTGATGAATATGTAACTACGACTTACAAATTTCTGTACATAATTTTTATATTTAGTAACTATTGAATTTAGATTTAAGTTCTTTGTCAAGCAATAATTATAAATAAATAATTATGACTGTTTCAAGTACTTTCGTTACTAAATGAATGTGGTGTCCTATCCAAAAACGTATTTACATTCAGGTAAATTATAACAATTACACATAATACATAATAGAATAGATTAGAATATGCTTTATGTACTCCAGTTTTTAAAAAAAGTTTGAAACATTTTAAAATTAAAATAACGGTAACAAAAAATATTGAGCAGTTCGACTCCAATGATTTCTTGTCTAAACTACGAGCTTCGGTCGTAAAATTTGATTCCTTTTTTACTGGCACTTTGTAATTTTGACTTTAAAACACGCGTGTAAGGTTGAATTTGTTTTGATATAGGTTGACCAGCCAGTATCAGTCATAAAAATTTATTGCTTTTCGTACGTATCTTTGTGAATACAACTATAGGCAATGTATTTAAGGTTGAATTTACATAAATGTGTATTTATTTCGACTAGAGTTACATCACAACAATTGGGGACAGTTTTTAGAGAACTTTTGTATGGGATTGTGCATCTAGTTCTTTATTAGTGATCGATGCTTGCGCTCTATCTATTTAAAAATTTTTTTTCTTTTTCTCTACACTAGGATTTTCTCCTGTATCGTGGGGGCAGTTTACAAACATAAATTGTACAAGGACAAATATCCAGACCCGTAACAATTATTTGTAGGACATACAAATACTTTTTCCGTGCAAACACGGCCTAACCTCGGTAATTCGTTAGTTCAACCTCACTGTCGTTAGATGACGTTCACATTCATTGTGTAAATGTGTGCGTGCATCAATCGAGGTCATTTGGCCCTTGTAGTCTCCTTAAACGCGATAAAATCTGTAAAGTTTTATTCAATGTGTAATGTTCCCGTAAGTTTTTAAACGTCATTAAGATAATAGTTATAATTTGCCATGAGAAAGGATTTGTGTCACTGACGTTGAGTATAAGCATTTTTGCTTATATTCATGCCATGGGCCTTCATTGACGATGGAAGGCAAGGTTTTTTTTTTTAAAAAAGAAGATCGTTTGTCACTTTAACAGCTTTTTCACCAGCCCTTAAATGTCCACTACGGATTGACAACCAAAACAAAAGATTTGCACCTTTGATACTACTGTTTATCGCCAGTGTGGGAGATGTCAATACTGCCACCTATCAGATTGTTGGCATACCTCACAGTCTCTTACGACAAGGAATGAAATGGTAATGGTGGTAGATTTTCTTACACCACCACCGACTTAGTTAAATTAAAACACAAATACTTTAGTTAAATTGACGCAAATTAAAAAAAAAGTTAAATTAAAAACTAACTTACCTAGCATCAAGGAATATGAGTCTCATATCCAGCGATGCCCGGAACATGAACATGTTGGAGTGGAGTTTCAGTTCTGTAACGGCAGATGGCGGCAGCGAGTGTCCCACTGCTATCAAACCTAGAGGCGCTGTAGCCTCGCCGAATCTTCGAGCTCTCAGGTAGCCTGAACAGTGGATGACCTGAGAAGATAATTTTACATTTCTTATTTATCTGTGGCGGCGCTGTCGTCGTACCACAAGCAAAACGCACCAAAGGACTAAATCACGCTATCAAAGTTCCGAAGTAGGTACTGCGCTATACAAAATGGCAGCTTAATGCTGCTGTGTTTCGAATGGTGAGTGTGAGAACCGGAACCGTACTGGAGGCATTCCATCTTAGTCCTCAGGGGTGACAATCTGTATTTTGATATTTAATCGAGGTAAAATGTAGATGTCTATGGGCCACAGAATCCACTTACCATCGGGTGGAGTGTGTGCTTGTTTGTTACCTTTATTCTATAAAAAAAAATATATACAGAACAGCTCTGTACTACCACACAGATCGTTGGCCGCTTCCCGGGCTGAACACCTTGCCCGGTGGGTAATCTGACCTTTTCGTTCTACGGTCAAAATGGTCACCAAATTTAAAATACACTTCGGAAACACTGACGTGACTAATAGTAAATTGTAAATTAAAATGGTTGCTTTTGCATCGTGTAACTTGAATTAAACATTCAAAAACTCTAAATAAAAAGAGCTGATGGTCTTCAAATGGCTGAACAGATTTCATTAAAACATAGCTAAGAACACTCTCGATTAAGGCACCTTTCAAGGTTCAACACTTAATCAAAATTGGTTCATCTGTTCAAAAACTAATCAACGGTTCACTAATACACACTACAAACCTATAACACCCCTATGTTATCAGCGGGAGTTAAAAGTAAAGATTTAAATCAAATTAAAATGAAATAATAACAATAATTGAATCTAATTCTGTAGTTAATCATTTCCAATACACAGTTAGAAAAGAGCTAAGTTAAAGTATATAATACATATAAATGTCCTATATATGTCCCACTGCTGGGCACAGGCCTCCGCTCATTTCTGAGAGGGTTTTAGGGCAAGGAATTGTCCGCCGCGCTGTTTGCCCCAATGCGTGTTGGCGAATTTCACATGTCTTCGAAATATTTTTTTTTATTTATAAGATATGCAGGTTTCCTCACGATCTTTTCTTTCACCGCCGAGCACGTGGTAAATCAGCAATTGAAATAGAGCCGTGGTAGCTCAGATGATTAGCGCTCGTTGTAAATATAACAGAACGCGAGCAAACCGGGTTCGATCCCTGCCGGCACCAATGAAATTGTTAGTTAGGAAATGTGAATGTTATTTTCTTTTTCATGTAGGACAATGATAAAGTATGTGCCCGCACAATCCATCTAATGGTAAGTGGACGCGGTGGCTCATACACTCTCCATTTTTTCTCGATTAAAAATCAACACGTAGATGTGTTGCCATCCCTGAGGACTTAAACGGAAACCTTCGTTACCAGTAAAAAGGGCCTAAAGTTCTTCATTCTCGTCATATGGTTAAACAATACCAGTGTGAAATAGCAGTTTAATGCTGCTGTGTTTCGTATGGTGAGTGTAGAGAACCGGTGACCCGTTTTACTGGAAACGAGGCATTCTATCTTAGTCCTCAGGCTGAAAACGGATATTCATTTTGATCCTTAAGTCATAACCGATGGTTGACGTTGGTTTCTATAGGCCTAAGCATCCATTTACTGGTAGGCTATGTTTATCGCTGTTATTCTATATAAAAAATGAAGAAAACTCACCATATATTATAATGGTATTTCAAACTGGTATTCAGTTAAACAAGCTGGTATATTATCTGATATCCCTCTCACTCCACTCGCGCTGTCTCACTCTCATGCGTCCTGTAAATATTTACCTTATATCCGGACGTAGTGAGCCCCGCGTTCCTCTTTGCGAGAACGCACTTCATCCTTATGAAGAAGGCGCGCTCGCATTCCACGTCCACTGTGGGGCCCCACGTGCCGCCGACTGGGTATCTATTGTTCACCATTACAGTTAAATGAAAACTCGTTATTTTTTTTAGCAAGAAAATAAAATTTCGACAACACGACCAGACTTCGAAAGACACGTACATGTGTTCTTAGCCGACTTCAAAGAAACGAAGGTGGATTTCAATTCTTTTTCTGTTTTTAAGGACGTTATACTTACTCACTAAGATTTTCTCCTGTATCCTGAAGGCAGATTGCATGCATAAATTTTACAAGGACCAATATCCAGACCCAAAACAATTATTTACAGGTCATACGAATACTTAATCCGTGCGGGATTCGAACCCGCGGCCAACAGAGCTGCGACTCATTGCTACGCCACTGGGGCCGTCAGTTCGAGTGTATGTTCTTTTTTAAATATGTGACATACTAGGAACAAACAAGCTGGTGCTACCAGTTTCTCGACTCCACAGTCAGTAATTCATTCTTGGAGCAATGTATACGCTATTACAACAAAGTCCCAGAAAATATACAAGATCTCTATTGCCAATTTTAAATATTTAATTAAACAAAAACTGTAGAAACTAATAATATAACTACTATAACTGTGTAAAATTTATTTAAAAAAAGTCCCGCTGGGTTTCTTGCTGGTTCTTCCCAGGGCAGACGTTTTTTCTCGAACCAGTGGTAACGTAAAATATTGGCTTTCAATAAGAATTACTTGTAATCTATATTGAATAAAAATTATTCTATTCTTGAATAAAACTAAATTTACGGACTGTATCGCGTTTATTTAACTGATTTCACTTATTTTTAATTCCCTTCCATTCTATTCTATTCATATACAAAAACATATACCTACTCGAAATCTTCGATAATTGTGGACCGATGTTGATGATGCTTTTATTAATTATGTATTACAGGGTTTACAATGTAACTCTATTCAGACGACATTCGAATTTTTGATAGTCCTTAGACCACTCAAAGGGGTTAAATTTTATTTACTATTTAATTAGACTTTTAATAAAAATCAAAGCAGACTTGGAGAAAATAAAAAGAAAAAATAACAATTTGCACATAATAAGTTTAGAAGTCGGGGCTTTACTACATATATTTTAGCACCGACATTTGAAGTTAATATGCGGAAGTAATTTTTTCAGTTTTTTAAAGTCTCTTCATATTATCTAAAGAGAATGTAATCATCGAAATCAGTTCACGTGGTAAAAAATTATGCTACCCGTTGTACAGAAAGATTTTGATGATTTTATCATGAATCTCATCATTAGAGCTTGAAAAAATTTATAAGAGACCATCCCTGAGATACCCACTTTCTAACAAAAAAGATTTATTGAAATCAGACAACGTGGAAAAGAGTTATCGCAGAACATACATCAAAAATTATTCAAATTATTGGGCAATCTCCTTTTTATGAAGTCGGTAGAAAACAAAAAAATTGAGATGCTCACCCCAAGCTTGGATATTGGTGTCCTAAATAAGAGTGCGGATGTTGCAAGCTGAGAACTGCGCTCATCTCCTCGTGGTCTGCTTGGTGAATGTACTCGTATATTGAGTTGCCGGTCAACTCTACCTGCGGAATTACTAGAGTTAATCTTTAACGTTCCGTTAATTTAATACAACGGAACATTTATGAAAACACTTCGGCGTCAATCCGTCTATCGTTGGTTAAATAACCAACTAAATCTTTTTGAGTTTAATAAAGAATGTAAAAAAAAACTACATCTTTTCTTAACTAAATATTTTTATTTTAATAAAGAATGTAAAAACTGTAAATGTAAAAACCAGTGAATGAACACTATACTTCTCTTTAACCCCTCTCTTTTTCTGCTCTTAGGTCATTCGTCTACCTAAAGAATTTTGTCTTTTAATTAATTTAATCAAAGAATTAAATAATTTTTTATTTATTGATCCACCAACATTTATATCATTCCTTACATGCTAATTAAACACAATGAAACGATAAGAACTAAAATGTACAAATAATTATAGGCGGTAGAACCAGAGTGACCGACATAAACCAACGGATTAGTAAGCTGAAGTGGCAATGGGCCGGCCATATAGCTCGAAGAACCGATAACCGATGGGGAAAAAAGGTTCTCGAGTGGCAGCCTCGTACCGGTAGGCGAAGTGTAGGGCGACCCCCTACTAGATGGAGTGACGATCTGGTAAGACATGCAGGAAGTCGATGGATGCAGGTGGCTCAGGACCGTGCTTTGTGGCATACCTTGGGGGAGGCCTATGTTCAGCAGTGGACTTGTGAAGGGCTGTAATGATGATGATGATGATGAATTATAGGCAGACACGACATGCAAATAACTTTCTCAGCACTGTGTACCTATATTTCTAGGATAAAGAAAGAGTTTACAAAATGATACCGAAATACAGTACTAAAAATATATAAAAGAGAGAAGAGAGACATTTTTTACAGAATATTACAAAAGATGGTCTCTTAAGGTGTGACGGAGCTTGTTAGGAGGGTCGAAAAATATGTCAATTTCATCTCTAAATTTGTTAATAATTTTACTCATTCTAGCAATTGGAGAATTGGAGCCAAACACTGTTCTTCGATATGGTATAGTCAATGGCGTAATCTTATGAGCATAACTCGGATAAAGAAAGGCAACTCACATATCTGGGGGCACGGCAGTGCCCCCGCCAAGTCGAGCAATAAAGCGGCACGGCCGTGCCATACTTTTCTCGAACCAATTCCGGCCATATTCGACCCCCTATAACTTCGTAGTGGATAAAACTAGAAGCCTGAATTTGAAGTTACTTAAGTAAACGAGTTGGCATTGTATATACACATACATTTCAAATTTCATTCAATTTGCACCAGTAGTCTAAGAATCAAAGTTTCTTAATTTTGTCACTCACTGACTAACCGATCATCAAAACTCTAAGGCATTCTAGCAGACATAGAAGCTTCAAAGATACAATTAGTGTTTAGTGTATTATAACATAAACATACACTCCACCTGTCACAGGGGGTAGGAAGAACTACATCCATGCACGATCCTCTCTTTAATACATTCGTCGGTTGGGTACTAATTTTTTCCATAGAATTGTGATAAATCAACTGCAAAATAAATTTTCTTTGTATTCATCATTCTTTAATGCCCTTATAAATATATAGAATTACAAAGTTACATTTGGAGTGAATGAATTAGTGTACTTGTATATGTATAGTAGGTGTAGATAGTATTCAAGAAGTAGAAGGTACCGGAAAGGTAAAAAAGTAGGACTATATTATCTACAAAAAGAAATGAGATGCCATCAAATGTGATTAATAGCATTAAATCTACTTAAAATTTCAGGACATTCAATAACACCACTAATAATTCTGGAAGCAAAAATCAAATCAATAATATCCCTGCGGTTTTCTAGAGGAACCATTTTGAAATAGATCAAATTATTTTCATATAATACACGTTTCTTATAACTTCCAAATCCTTTTGTATTTCCCTCAATATATGTTCATATTTCGTTATATTTGTCTTTTCTTCGTGTATTAAATTGTATTGTATGTGATATACAGGTATGATGACCTATTTATAGACGTGTAAAGTGGGTGTTAATTTCAATGCTTTCTTCTGGTGAACGTGGGGAACCGATGATTCTTTGTTATTATGCATTAGTAATGACATTTAAACGATAGACGAAGGAGCTCGTTGGCCACAACAATCACTTAACATCGTGGTGAGTGTTTCATTAGGCAATTGTCGAGAACCGGACACGTAATAAAGGCGTTCGATCTTGTTCGTAGTAGGTTAAAGGACTTCTTTTTGCTTGCCTATAGACAGGAATACATACGGTAAGTAAGCAGGAGGCCCTTACATATTTCTGTCACGAAATAGCGGCGCCTTCACTGTTGTGTTCGGGTCTGAAGGCTATGTAGAGCCTAGTATAATAACATGCTGGGAGGCTTTTTTATAGGATAGCGTTACAAACGAGCACACAGTCCACCTGATGGTAAGTGGTTGCTGTGGCCCATAGACATCTACATCTATCCTCGATTACGAATCGAAATGCAGATGCGTTGTCACCCGTGGGGACTAAGATGGAATGCCTCGTTTCCAGTGAAAAGGGTCTCCGGTTCTCTACAATCACCATACGAAACACAGCAGCATTAAGCTACTATTTGACGCTGGTATTCTGTGAGAACGTGGTCCTTCCACAGTCAAGCCTATCCATTCGTGCTACAACTATACTACTAATATAACTGCAGCATGGCTCTACCACGTATAAATTTTTATCTTTCTATCTTAGTCCTCAGAGGTGACAAAACATCTATAGGTCTGTATCTTTTTTTGTTTAAATATGGCTGCAGTAGGTATGGGCTACTGTAGCTACTTACCACCAGGTCTACTGTAAATTCGTTGGTCATTTAAGTTTAATCAAAAATAGTCCCTAAGAGTGAAAACTTCGGCATTTTGATTCTCAATTTTTAATAGATGTTGGTGTCTAGTGCCCACAATCAGGTAGATAGTATACCGTTTGTTATCCTTTTAATAGAAAAATTACAGCAGTATATTATTAAATTTATGCGTGGTAGAGCCACTCCGCAGCTATATTATGGTTGTAGCACGAATGGGTCGGCTCAACCGGGGAAGAACCACGCTCTCAGATACCAGCGTAAAATACTACTGTGTTTCGTATGGTGAGTCTACACTCAATAAAATAAAAAATTTTTTTTTTTTTTTTTTGCTTTTTTTTTTTTTTTGTTTTTTTTTTTTTGGTGTGGTTTTTTTTTTTTTTTTTTTTTTGTTTGTTTTTTTTTGGGGGGGGGGGGGGTTTTGGGATCTAGAGATCCGGAGATCCTTTTTTACCGTTCCATCTTGGTCCTCAGGGGTGACAACGCATCTGCGTTTTCATTCCTAATCGAGGATGGATGTAGATGTCTATAGGCCACGTCATCCACTTACCATCGGGTGGACAGTGTCACAGTTGTCACAGTTATTCTATAAAAAAACACGCAGTTCAAAAAAACATGTGTGAACTACACGAGGTAGAAGTGAAACCTACATAAAAGGACACTAAGATAATAGGAAACTCTGTATTACTGTATTCTATCTCATTCTCTCGCAGACTAAATACTACTTAGTCAGGGCATAAGTTCTATCAAAAACTTTTTATAAAATTAATGATACACTTTTTGATAATTATATAGAAATTATATATGAAATTAAAAAAAGGTAATTTAATTTAGAATACAATTTTATTTACAATATTCAAAATGCCCTCCCCTATTTTGCAATACATGCCCTTAATCGACGCGGCCAATCATCAATCGCAGCACGCACCACACTCATATCTATTTCTGCCGCTGCTTTAGCCAAAGATGCTCGGAGAGATTCCAAATATTGATGAGGTTTAGCACAGACTTTCTCCACCAAATGTTGCCATATCTTATAAACCAGTGGGCTTAAATCTGGACTAGAAGATGGCCAATCTTCATGTCCGATAAAGTCAATTCCATGGGCGGTCAACCAGTTTTGCGACCTCGGTGTTGATTTTTACACCTTTTTCACAGAAAAACACCTCAGTTAAGCCCGAATTTGAGACTCCTAGCCAAACCATGGGCGACGAAGGATAATGTGCTCGTTGAACCTTCGGAATACGCGTGCTGGCTTCTTCACTGCTATGGGCATATACCTTATTATTTTCTTTATTATAACTTTCTTCGATATTAAAATTTTTTATCAGTGCAACGCAATAACCGCTACTCTATTCTTTCTCCGACCACTCTATATTTGAAAATGAATGAAAATTATTGTCTTTTTTATTTTCGGCAAGCACAAACATTATATTTTTAAAATTGGAGAAGTTTATCTAACCAATATTCAAAAATTTTTAATAATAAGGTTTTGCCAGAACTTATGACCCGACTAAGTATATATGTTTGTCTCTTTTTAGTGTCGCTTTTCCGTTTCATCGAGTTTCAAATCACGATTCGAAAGAAGTTTTCACTTCAAAGTAAACATGTGTCAATCATTCATTTCTCGTGACCGAATCATTCTAGTACCTACATTTCGTCACGCGTACTAGTACATTGGCATCGGTCAATAAAATGGATCATTTCTGGCTCTTGTACTTACCCTACACTACAAACAATTCTTCATCATCGGATTCGGTCGGTTTTCGACTCACTCACAATTCACACCAATCACGAGTTAAAAAGGTTCCGTCAATTGTTAGTGATTGGTTGTACCGGAACATTCAAAAACAGATAAATGAACCATCAACACTTTTATGTGTACCAGCTCAAACGAACGAATCTTTCATGATTGACCCATGTCTACTTCAAAAAAAATCAAAATCAATCATGAACATTGAAAGGCAAGTGAACTTATTACACATGATAATGTAAGCGTGATCAATTTAATAACATACGTTTAACGAACCTGACTGAGTCCAAGATGCACCGATGCGGTCTCACTGATGTACATGATCTTCCCATCCGGTGCCACGACGAAGATAAATCCGTCCAAAGTTTGAAGAAGATGCGAGCCCAGCTCCCTGATGGAGAGCTCGCGCGGTTGTGGGGGTGGTGGTGCTGCTCCCCAAGCGTCTCCGAGGCCTATGTAAATGAGATATAGGTTTGAAGATCTTGTGTACTTATGAAGACATCGTTGAATGAAACTTTACGGAATTTTCACGGAGTTCATCGCATTTTATTAGCTTTTTTATAGGTATACCCGATGTTTCGAGTACTTTACAGCACCTTTAAGCCCACCCCAGTAGTGTTAGACGTTCTATCTCATAGTTAACCAAGGCTACCTTTAGTTTAAAATATATACTTTAATTTTTTTATTAATAATTTTAAAGTGATAATAGCCTTGGTAATTATAACACTGGGACGCTGAACACCTTCGTTGTCCCATGACCATTAGTGCTAAAGTACTCGAAACGCCTGAAATATAAAATTTTATAAAACAGAATAAGATCCGTGAAAACTGAGAACTGTAAACTGAAAGTTGCGTTCAATGTGAAGTGTTAGTGTAAACAAAAGAAATTATGGAAGACATTATTTCTCGAAAATAATATATTTAACACCTGGCATAGATGAAAGCTATGCCGCTATATATCCGAAGCCATATAAGCTCTTTCTGGTCTTTCATGTGGTCAACTCGTACGAGATCCATGGAACGATATGCGGTTGGTGTCTTTCCGTCCGATTACAATCAGAGCGTCTTCTAGGCAAGAGTAGTAGTAGTGTTCTTCTCCTTTTAGTCACCTTTCTGGTGGTGGGAGGGGGGGACAGGAGGGCCTGCAGGTGGCAAGAGTTGATTGTCGTCTACATGCACCAATGAACTATGCAGGTAGAGGCCCGACCTCGGGGTATACCCCATTGCCCTGATAGTCCTCATGGCCCATAACTATGGGCCAGTCTTTGGGGCCTATTCTAGGCGTGGATGGTAGTACGGATTAGTTCGTAACCTGATAAAATTTTTCCCGTAGTTAACCAACTACGGGAAAAGGAGGTTATCTAGTAAATAAGTCTGGGTTGGCCTTTCAGCGGCATTGTGGGTTGTTACTCGACTCTCTAATCGATATAGAGAGGAGTTCTCTTGGAAGAGGTCGCCCGTCCGGAGGCCGAGTGTGCAACGGCGCAAAGCCGTTGAGATGGTCGTGTGGCCCGTTGTCGGCGCGGTCGAACATGCCGCGCGCTAGCCGGGCCACGAAGTCGGTGATAGTCTCAACTTTCAGATCGGCCGCTATGACGTCGTTCCGGACGTAGCGACCTGCTCCGACAATCGTCCTTAATGACAGGTTCTGCTGAGCCTGCAGTCGCCGTCTCAGAGGGTCGCTCAGAAGCGCGTACCAGGCCGGAGCAGCGTAGGTGGTAATGGTGGATATACATCTTGTATACCGGAGCTTGGTCTTTATCGGCAGCTTGGATGCCAGGACCGGACGAAGCATCGCCCACGCACATCTGGCTTTGCGGACGACGAAGTCGACGTGCGCAGTCATGCGCAGCGCCCGGTCGATCCGGCACCCGAGGTATGTCACGGCCTTCTCGTACGCGATCTTCTGGCCGTTGAGCGGCCAGATCTTCTGGCGTCAGCGGAGGTGGTAAATTTCTGAGACAGCGAGTGAGCAGAGCGGTCGTCTTACCAACGTTGACGACTATCCTCCACTCATTCAGTCATGGTGGCAGCAGGTCCAGCAGACGCTGCATTCTGGCAGTGGCTATATGGGCTCTTCTGGACGAGGTGAAATAGGCGCTATCGTCCGCGTATAGCGCCAGCACAACGTCGTCCTCCCATTCTTGCAGCCTGCCTGCTAGTGTTGGTATATCATTAGTGTATGCCGCGTACAGGACTGGAGACAAACAGCTGCCCTGTGGGACGCCGGCACTGATGGATCTTGTTGCGGACTCGGCGTCCTCTACGCAGACGTAGAACTTCCTGTCTTCCAGGAAAGACGCCATTAACCGCAACATAGCAGGGGGGACACTGGTCTGCTCGTGTAATTTATATAGTAATCCTGTGTCACACCCGGTCGAACGCTTTCTCGATATCGAGAAAGACGCCCAACGATATGCGGCCACGATGTACTCTGCCGCAAGCAGGTGTAGCACTCTAGTCAGCTGTGTGACTGTAGAGTGACTCCTCCAGAATTCGTGCTGATCCGCAGGAAGTTGGATGCACGGACGGAGACGTCTCAGCAGCAATCTTTCGAACAGTTTAGCTATGTGCGGTAATAGCGTAATCGGCCTGTAGCTGGCAGCTCTACGCCTGTCCTTCCCGGGTTTCGGCAAGACGATAATTTTGCCTTTCTTCCATTCCTCCGGGAAGTGGAATGTCCGCAGTATCCCATTGTAGAGTCGACCAATTTCTACTAGGACTTTATTGGGCAGCTGTCGGAGTGCAGCGTTGGTAATCCCTGTTGTGCCCGGGCGCCTTCCTGGTTGCAGGCAGGTTACTGTCCTCCGCAATTCAGCGGGGGGAGATGAACCACTCTCCTGCAAGAGGCGGCGCAGGTGACGACAGGAACTCCTGTACGCGACTCTCCTTTGAGGCATGAAGCTCCATGAACTCCGCACTTGCTGGATTCGGCATAAATTGCTCCTCGAAGTGCTCTCCTAGGATATCCGCTCTGCCCTTGGCATCATAGCAGCGATCGCCCGCGTTGTTGGTCAGCGGGCAAACGGGAGGTCTGGTTTTGGTCAACTGCCGGTTCAGTTTATAGAGTGACGCATTATGCTCATCCGCCTTCCATATTCGCCGCTCCCAGGCCTCTCCTCTGTAGGCCCGGACTGCAACCGACAGTTCCTCCGATAGGGTGTTAAGTTGCGTCTTCAGTCTTGGGCAGCGAGTATGCGCCCAGAGCTTCCTCAGCGCTCTTTAGCGCCTGATCTGCACGCATATCTCTCGCGGCAGATCGTCACGCCTTTCTATAATCGGGACGATCGTAGAGGCCGCGTGAAGGGCCTCCTGGATGTTTTTGGTGATTCTAGTAGCAGCGGCCTCTACGTCGTCCGCTGTACTTATGGGCTGGTGGACTGGAGGTCTCGCCTGCAGATTGTGTGAGTAGAGCCTCTAGTCGACGCGTGTCTTGAATACTCTGGGCAGTGTAGTCACCGCCTTAGTGCCAAGGGTTATCAGAATCGGGAGGTGCTGTGAGCTCAGGTCATATAGCACCTCTACCACTACTGGGTAGTTGACGTTCCTAGAGAGCACGATGTCTAATACATCCGGATGTTGTCGCGGATCTGTCGGAACGTTAGTTGGTTCTTCGGGACCTAAAACGTCGTAGTTGTTCTTTTCTGCGTCTTCATATAGTGCATGACCCGGCGGGGTGATCAATCTGGACCCCCACGCCGGGTATTTGGCGTTTAGGTCCCCGGCGATGATAGTAGGTGTTTCGCCTTCCATCACCGTCCGGATGTCTGAAGAGCAGAATGGAGTCCCTGGCGGGCGGTATGCTGCGTAGATCCTTAGTTCCTCGCCCGCCGCCTCCATTCTTATGCCGATTTGCCGATGGTTGCCTGCCCTTCCCTGTGATGGTAACCCACCCGTTTTTTTGAATGGTCACAGTTTTGGGGCGACTCTGGGGGGTCTTTTTTGGGTCCTCCGGGGAGTAGCCCCGGCAAAGTTATCCCCTGCCTCCTAGCAGTCCTCCTCAGGACTGGGCAGCGGTGGTCGTTTGCCGTGTGGTTTTTGCCGCAGTTGGCACACTTGGGTTCTTCCTCTCTACCCCGAGGGCAAAGGCTCGCAATGTGCTCTCCGGCGCAGCGCACGCACCTCACTGGCCTGAAGCAGTTGGCGGAGGCGTGCCCGAAGGCCTGGCATCGGTGGCATTGAGCCGGTCCTGCTTTTCTCTGCCAGGTCTCGATGACGACCCCTCTCATATAGAGGAGTTCGTCGACTTTGTAGAGATCCTGGAGCTGCTCCAGGCTCAGGTGCTCGAATTGGGCAAAGTAGATGCAGCCAGGTCCTACGAGGTGGAATTGCTTTGACATAATTAACGGGGAAGCCTTTTGCCCTACTAGCCTCCTCTATTGTCTTGGTGTCCGTGCCCATTGGTAGACTCGTGTCCTTTGACTTGTTAGTGGGCTTGTCCTCCTCCGGGGTGTAACAATACCACGACAGTGTTGGTATTTCTTTTGACAGTTCCACCATATATCGTTGAACTGTTCTGAATTCGTTGGCGCTCTGAGGTGTGAACCTTACGCCTTTCCCGAACGGACGGGCATTCAAAGAGTGGCCCAACATTCTGTTGAGCTCCTTAAAATGCCTCGCCCAATCCGGTAGGCATTCAACCACTATGGGTGGATATCTGACTTTTTCCTGGTCGGCAGGCTTATCAGTGGGCACTGCCGCCGGTTGTGGTCGTGGTACTGCTGGTGCAGCTACCATATGGGCATAGCTGGTAGATGGTCGTTGGCCATCATCCTGCGGGAGCCCGGACGGGTTTGTTGTTGCCACCGGCGATGATCGGCCGGCGGATGCTGCGAGGGTTGCATAAGTGGTTGACCCCCAGCTGTAAGATTCCTCGCCCCCCTGCTCATACTGGGCCGAATCTTGGCACGGAGCGGGGGGGGGAGGGGGGGTTGTGGTGGACAGGGTGACTTCGGTGGTGATCTAAGCACCTTCTTCGTCGTCACCTGGTGGTATTCTTCGTCTTCCGATGTGGATGGTGGTTCATCGGAAGACATCTGGGAGCCTATCTGTTGCCTCTTTTCATATAGGGAGGCTTCGGTTTCCGGTGGGGTACGGCGTCTGGGCGTTTTCTTAGCCCGCTGCTGCTGGGGCGACAGTTTCTGCCTGACCGTGTGCTCAGACACGGCCGGCGTGAGCGCGACGCCCGAATCGGGCTCCTTCCGCGACGAGACGGGTTTCCTCATGGGTATCTGGGAGAATGCTGGCACCGTTCTGGTGCGCTCCGGGTTCGCCAGATCCCTGATGACTAGAGGTCTCTCCAACACTCCTTTCTTATTCGGTGGTACTCTTGACTTGGGGGGTGGTTCCCCCTTGTCCCTACCTGACATGATATAGTCGGTTGTATTCTAATGGCCCTATCTATATACGATGGTGATAATATAGTGAACGGCTTTCCTCACTTGGGGCACTGCCTACCCCTTTTGCAAACAAAAGCCCTAACATACTCCTTAATGATCGCATTTCTACTGCTTTTATTCTACTCTCGTGCTTCTTCTGCCACATCTAACTTTCACTTCCATACGTTAAAGTAGGGACCAACACAGCATTGTGAATATCCATACGTGACATTTTTGACATGTTCACTTTTATACCCCTTCCTTTTAATGATCTGTTCATTAATGTAACCAAAGTCGTATACTATACCTAATATACATATTAAGAAGAAAAAGCAAACAAGCCTTGACAATAATTACGAAAACTTCAAAAACTCAACCTAAAAGAACTAACTACAACATACTAAAATCGACTAAAATATTTACTAATACTTGTAGGTAATGTCAACTGCCAAAATGGCGTCGATAAAGCAGCGCACTTTTGACTCTTTAATATTTGATTGACCGATGAAGAGCTATCCTATCATAAAGACATCTATGCAAACAAGACTGTAGTTTTTGAGTTATAAAAAAGTGACCATGTTAAACGGATGACCATATTACCGTCACGTACTATAGTAAAAAAATATAATATGCACAATGTACTTACATAAACATTTAGCAGCCATTACTTGCTATATATGCTATTATTTTCAGATACGAGACGAGGTTTGCGCCAAACAGCGGGATATAATTAGGTATACTCACCATCAGGAAACACCTGCCTCATCTTCAGGTAGCTGGTTGTTAATCGTATCACGGACGCTTTGTCCAGTTGTGATGTGATAGCAGACGGTAGTGGAAGGAGTTTCGCCAGCTCGAGGAATTCCGAGTTCTCTTTTTCACGTCTGGAGCGCGCCGCGTTTTTACTCTTCTCTTTCATGATGGCCGTCGCGTCGAATGACAGCGGCCGCTGCTCTTTGCGGCAGGGTGCTGAGAGAAAAAATAATTGTGAACTATATTAATAATTACGGGTACCTACATAATGCAATAGATACATCTTTAGAACGTAAGCTCTGCGATATTATCGTGATGAAAGGATTGTGTTTACTGATGTAATAGTTATTTATAACTATTCGATATTTTTAAATTTTGTATTTTTGATTTCATATATAGGAAACGAATTTTGATCACAGTCAGTAAATATACGTCTAGCGAATAGAATCAGAATCATTTTTAGAATCGAATCAACACTTCTTTAGATAGCCTCCTTCAAACAGACGTACATACAAACAATTCATATAATATATACGTAAATTTTATTATGTCTAACATAATTGCTCCAGTATGTATGCTTGTACATATGTGCTATGTAATGTAATGATTCAAGGGTTCTGTAGATCCTATTTTTTATGGAATGAAGGTGACAAGCGAGCGTACAGTCTACCTGATGGTAAGAGGTTGCTATGGCCATAAACATCTACCTATCCTCGATTAAGAATCATAATACACATGCGTTATCACCCCTGCGGACTAAGATGGAATGCCTCGTATCCAGTAACAAGGGTCCTTTCCGTGCTTTAATATGACTATCAGCTCTTCCTTATCTGGTCTGGTTTCTGATGATGTGTTTTTTATGTTTGTTGTCGCCCTTAGTGGGGGCGCCGGTCTTCGCAAAATTTGACATTTGCTGTCAAATTCCATACAATACATTATACGTTTTACTTCGCATATTTCAGCGAGACTTCTTTCTTGAAACAGATTTTTTTTATTTATAAGGTATACCAACAGCAAAACATATGAAACATTAACAACAACACGATAACAAATGTATATGGTTAAATATGTTTGCCAATTACAGGTATACACGACATTTACCGTAATGTGTAGCTTATTATATTGTAATGGATAAATGAATACAAAATAACTTATATTAAGAAAAAACTAACTAAGAAAATGGTTGTGTGCTGAGAGGGTGAAAAGATATTGGTCAATTTTTTTTGAAGCATCGGGCAGTCATTGAAAGTGTCAAAGTTCTGGTATCTTGATAATAATTTCATTGTATGTGTTACATATTCTGGCTAGGGTATAATGCGCGCCTAAATTTGTTTTGTGGCAAGGTATGCTAAATAGTTTGCGGATTGGATATCGGGGATATCTGTACGAGATAATTAGTTTGATGTGATCGAGTAGGTGAGTACTATTGATTTTGTAATACAGTAAATTGTGTAGAAACATTTTAGATTAAATCTGACACTAAATACACTACTTTTTGTAATAAGGCCCTTTCTATTGACATAAAACACAATCCTGATCTTAAGCGGCTTATATTCATCCACTAACTGCTTTTTTTATAGGATATGGTGACAAACGAGCACACAGTCCAGCTGATGGTAAGTGGTTGCTGTGGCCCGTAGACATATACATTTATTGTCAATTATGATTCAAAATGCAGATGCGTTGTCACCAGTGTGGACTAAGATGGAATGCCTCGTCACCAGTAAAAAGGGTCTCCGGCGCTCTACACTCACCACACGAAACGCAGCAGGATTAAGCTACTATTTTACGCTGGTATTCTGTTAGAGCGTTGTCCTTCCTTAGTCGAGCCGATCCATTCGTGCTACAAATACACTACTAATATAACTGCAGCATGGCTCTACCACGTATAAAAACGCATGTTTGAATATATTAGATAAGAGGAAGCATCTCTCAGCAATACTCTAATAAAATCACGGATGTCAACCTGCCTGGTAAACGTAAGAGGTTGATAATATCCCTAAGATATGACGCATATATTTAGAAGTTTTTTTTTAAATTTATAAAAGTGTGTGACCAACGAACTCACAGATACAGGCAACCCGAGTATAAGTAGATGCTGTGGCGCATAGATTCCTACATCTATCCTAACTGTCTTGTTGGTCCTGTGATCGTAAGTTCAACTGTTGATCATGTGAACCCGGTTTCGAAACCCGAGTCCGGCCAAAATTGGTTATTGGGTTTTCTGTCAAGGAATTCTCAGTAGCAACCTGGAGTCTGGAATATGGCTTTCTTTTTTTTTTTGTAGAAGAGGGGGCAAACGAGCATGCGGCTCACCTGATGTTAAGTGACTACCGCCGCCCATGATCAACCGCAACACCAGGGGAAATGCAGGTGCGTTGCCGGCCCTTTAGAAAGGAGTACGCTCTTTTCTTGAAGGATCCCAGGTCGTATCGGTCCGGAAAAATCGTTGGTGGTAAACTATTCCACAGAGAGGAACGTACGCGGAAGAAAACTCCTCTTGAAACGTACAGTGGTGGACCGCCAAGCATCCAGATGATGTGGATGGTATCGCGACGTTTGCCGCGTAGTGCGTTCACGAAATTTGGCGGCTGGGATTAATCCGAACAATTCCTCAGAGCACTCTCCATGGTATATGCGAAAGAAAATGCAAAGAGATGCAACATCTCTTCGCAGTGCCAGTGAATCGAGCCGATCGGAAAACACTCGGTCGTCGACGATTCGAGCCGCTCTGCGCTGGATGCGGTCAATTGGAAGGAGCTGGTACTGGGGAGCCCCAGCCCAGAGATGGGAACAGTATTCCATGTGCGGCCGAACCTGCGCCTTGTAAAGTTGCAGGCGGTGTGCCGGCATGAAATACTGTCCCGCTCTGCTGAGCACGCCAAGCTTTTTAAAGGCCAATTTGGCCTTCTCTTCCAAGTGACCACGAAACTGCACGTCACTCGATATGTCGACGTCGAGGATTCCGATACTGGCTGAGGCAACACGGGGAGTGCCTTGAAACTGAGGAGATACGACAAAGGGGTTCTTTTTAGCGGTTAACGCGCAAACTTGTTTCTTCTGGGGGTTAAACTGGACTAGATTTAGTCGCCCCCAATCCGAGACTCTGTTCAGCAAAGACTTGACTTCAGACACAAGTTTGTCCCGGCAATCAGACACGTTTTCCCGAGAAATATAGGCTCGGCCGGTGTAAAGAGCATCACCAGTGCTGTCATCTGCATAGCAATGAATGTTACGGGTTTGCAACATATCATTGATATACAGAAGAAACAGCGTTGGCGATAGCACGCAGCCTTGTGGAACACCAGCATTAATAGGCTTGCAATCGGAGCTTGCACCGTCTACAACGACCTTGATGCCCCGATCTGCAAGAAAGCTGGTGATCCAATCGCACAATTTCTCGGGAAGCCCATAGGAAGGGAGCTTCGAAAGAAGCGCTTTGTGCCAAACCAGATCGAAAGCCTTCGCAATGTCCAAACTAACGGCCAATGCCTCCCCCCTTGGACTCTACTGCCTCCGCCCATCTGTGAGTTAGGTAGACCAGAAGATCACCAGCTGACCGACCACGGCGAAAACCGTATTGGCGGTCACTAATCAGCTGGTGATCCTCAAGGTACCTCATGAGCTGGCAGTTTACAATGGACTCCATTGTTTTGGAGAACAAGGAGGTGATGGCGATAGGCCGGTAGTTGGACGGGTCTGAGCGGTGGCCTTCTTTAGGGATCGGGTGGAGGAAAGCCGTCTTCCATGATTTTGGGACTACGCCTAGGGAGTAGGAGTACCGGAAAAGACGCGTTAAAACCGGTGCCAACTCTGGAGCACACGTCCTCAGCACAATTGGGGGGATTCCGGCAGGCCCACTCGACTTGTGGATGTCCAGGGAGAGGAGTGCTTTGCGAACCGAGCGCTGTGTGAACTGCACTTCCGGCATGGAGCACTCACACCGCGGGATGGTCGGCGGCGTACTCCCCCCGTCATCGAGAGTCGAGTTGGACGCAAAGAAAGAGCCTAGAAGATCGGCTTTCTCCTTTGCGGTATGGGCCAGTGAGTCGTCCTCCCTGTGCAGAGATGGAAAAGATGGCTGACAGAAATTCCCCTTGACAGCCTTGGCGAGAGACCAGAATGCACGGGTTCCAGAAGTTGGCGGACTAGTTTCTCGCCAATTCTGCATATGTGCTCTGACTTTGCCTTGGCAATGACTCTTTTGAAGGACCTAGAGGCGGAATTATACTTCTTTTTTAGAGCGCTGGTGTTTACATCCCGGGACGCTGATGCGTCAACCCAGGCTTGGTAGCACTCCTGCTTATAGCATGATGCTATTTTACAGGAGCGACCAAACCATGGCTGAGATTTTCCTCCAATGGGCACCACAGAGAAAGGAATAAAAAGTTCCATACCCTGAAGTACCACATCAATGTATTTCACCCTTTGAAAAACACGTAAAGCTGTTCGTCCTGCACCTGATCTCTCTCTGCTCGTGCCAGATTGCACTATGAAAGTGAGGGAACAGAGAGTGCAATTGTGCTTGCTCGTTAGATGTAACCCTGCACTACGCAGATAACTAGTCTACGTTAAGACTGGTTGCCGTCACCGAAATTAGGTCTAGAGGAATTTACATCTATTCTTGATTATAAATCAATATACGAGTACGAGTATTGCTTTGTGGTGAGCACGTCAGAGGATACATTTCTCAATTTTATCCCGACGGTGTCGTATGAGGCGGCTGTGTGTACTATTCATAGCATCCAAAAGATCGCACTATAATCGTCTATATATCATCTCATTTACGCTAGTCGTCATATTTTTAGAGATGAGTAGCTTCAAAGATGTGAGACGTGTGGACATTGCCTTATTCTACTGCCGAGCATGCCGATTACTGGCTGATAAAAAAGAAGAAATTAAAAGAGTTTTTTTTAATTCCATTTTATTTTATTAACAGAGTTTATAAAAGGAGAAGGTTCTATTTTTCGACATGTATGTTTTTTTATGTATATTCACCGATTTCTCTGAAACGGCTGGACCGATTTATGTAATTATTTTTTTATTAAATATTATATATATATATATATATATATATATATATATATATATATATATATATATATATAATACTTAGGGGAAGTCCAGCTATAATTTAAATAAAAAATCCTACCCGAATGGACGATATAGGGAATTAAGATTTCAATGTATCTATCTATTTCTAGTGTTACCTTGAA